ATGAAAAGAAGAGGAGGCAGAAGAGACATGGAAAAAGAAGTTGGTGGGTTAATAGTGTGTCCCTGTGAGGAACCTGGTGCCATGTCCTTTATGAGGTAAATTGAACAATGTACTTGTTGTTCTTAGCAAAGCTCCAACAGGTTAATGTGGAAAGCCTGCTATTCTTTCATAATGGCTGTTAACTTAAAGAAATGACTGTGACTGGCCAGAATTGGTACCAGTATGCCAAATATACATATCTTTTGGTCTATGATGACTTGCACCCAAAATATGTCATTGATGAATTTAAAGAAATGACTGTGACTGGCCAGAACAAATAGAAATGTGGTGCCAGGCAGATTTTCTGGCTCAAGAGGAGTACAAAAATATATAAAACAGTAAATGGAACACTTTCTGGCTGGGTACTATATCAGCCACCTTGTAGCTGTGAAATGTTTCCATCAGTTGTAAAGTTTAACAGTATAGCACCATCTTCTGGCGATGAAAGGGAACTTACCCACAAATGTAAAGGTCATTAGTATTTCAAATACTATATGAGGCCAATATACCAACACTGATGACCTTTCTGTTAATTCTTGAGCACCACATTGATGTCTGTTTATTTAGATAATGCTTGAGCAGCAAGTGCAAGAAAAAAATGCTTTAAATAGTTCTGCAGCGGTTTTAAAAGAATAATCACATGAGAAGAATATTAAAACAAAAATGGTTTGGATTTTACTCTTATTGATATTCAACTCCTTGGGCTTACCACAAGAGAGCGACATTAACCAGTGTGTGCCTCGAATGATGCTCTGTATGGGAGGAGGGGTTGTGCTCTTCTCTCTATCTTTGTCTTACTCTATTTGTCTTGCTGTCACTCACTGACACACTCTCTCTCTCTCTCTCTCTCTCTCTCACTCTGGGCATGGCTTGTGTTTCTTATAAACACTGTTGCTTCGCTCACGTTTCCTTGTCTTAGTCCCACCCATCTAAGATGGGAGGAAAATGTGAGGATAAAAGACTCAAACATATTAACGGCATGAGATGTCCATTCCTCTGATCCTCCATCTGAAGTGTGACCACCTGATTTCAGATAAAGGGCTGCATCAGTTTTACAAAACGTTTTCACAAAAGTCTCTTGTATCATTGTTCATGGCTCCTCCAGCACTGTCCTCGGTCCTTGCTCCTTGGTCCTCAGACCCGATCAAAGAGACTTGGAACGTTCTACAATCTTATAAAAGACATGAGATGTGCCCATTCTCTCTTTCCTTCAAATGTATTGGATCAATAGTGTCTTTAATATAAAAAGGGCCTCCAGTACAAACACCACTATTAGATCAGCAGTGTGGCCTGTTACAGACAGATTGTAGAGTTAGAGTTCAGTGTAATACTGTCACCTGGGTCAAATACAAAACCACATGCACCTTTACATATAAAATTTGTGTTTTTTTCCCCTCATTGATATTTCAAGGCTCTGAGTAAAAAGCAATTCATAGTCACATTCATCACAAGTAACACAGCTTCATTTGAAAAGGATGAAAACGATTTTCTTAGAAAGTTACATTTAGTGATCTATTTTTTTTATGTTCCAACAATGAAGCTGGAGTGCTTTTGTTTTTGATTTGAACACTAGTTGCAGAATGATTACAAACTGGATAGGGTACTGAAACACACTGCTGTACAATATGTACACATAAGCAAAAATACATAAGATTTGAGTAAATAATTTCCAGGTTTTTACTGTATGTGACTGTTATGAATGCTGGACAGAAGTTAATTGTAGAAAGACATAAAATGTATGTAATGCGCCACTGATCAGTTGGGCTGCATTGTTCTGCTCTTGACTTCAAGTGCTCCAGCAGCTCCTTGGGTTGTAAACAGAAGACAATTCATGAAATATGGTTTCTTCAGGTCAAATAGAATTTAGACTTTTAAAAAGTTCTTTAAAGCCTTTCTAAACAAAGTAGGATTCTAGTTAACACATAATCAGTTGAAGGATTTGATGAACACATGATGTGCATTTAGTCCAAAAGGTTAAACGGTGTGCTTTTGTTTAGGGCAGTCGAAGGGGAAGAAAGCTTAGCATAACTTCCTTCCCCTTTAATGTTTATTAGTTTTGCATCATTTGTGCACAACACATCACACAGGTGCTATTAAGGCCCAGGTGTAGCACTTGTTAATGTGACAATAGTGATCCAGTGGGATCATTATTTAAGGATTACATCCACCTAACTGCTTGAAAACCTGTTTAGGAGCTCAGGGCAAATGTGGTATTGGTCTGTTTCCTCTGGGAGGCCATGGCCCAAGAAGGGCCACAAGGAAAATAATTCACACTTTTAAAAAGCACTAGTAGGTACATAAATGTTTAATAAACTTTGCTGTGCAGGATTACAAAGACCCAAAGGTCTGACTTCCCATTTGTGGCTTAAGATAGTTTGTTAGTCTGCCGACAATCAAATTTTAACAGTGGATGCAAGGAAATGAAATGAAATGTAACAGAGTCCACATTAATGGAGCTTCATTCATCTGGAAATATAAAACAATGATAGAATGTTAAAACTTGCTGTTCTATAGAGGGTAAAACATGTCCAAAGAAAATGAAATCGGGGAAAGTGGCTCCTCTTGCTTTCAATGTATCACTTGGATATGATAAAATATTATTGTGCAGTTTGAAAGGATGTGTTTGTTCACCATCCATTAGACTGCTTCAGCTTAAATGGACAACTGATAGTGTTATTGAAACTGTGGCACTAAAACTGTGTAAATGAGGCCTGAGATACAGTGAAGAGCAAAGCTTTCAGTTGCAATGGGAAACTGTTTGTTCTGCAGCAGCTGTGTGCCAGCTGCTCTGCCCACACAAACACACACAGGCCTTTAACTGTACAGCACAGTATACACACGCAAACACTATATATACACACATACAAAGTCTCCCTTTTTAATGTTTGTAGCCGTGCCCATCTCTTTAATGAACAAGCACACGTCCACTAGACTGAAACCAAGACAGAGACACTATCAATACACTCACCACAGCTTTCATAGGGACTCAAAGGGCAATCAGGCAATCTGAGGCAGAGTACAGCTTTTAGGTACACATCCATTAGCTGCCTTTTAGTGGCCAGAGGGATTTTCATCTGGTTTTTATTGTCTATTGCCTACTTAACAAAGGCGCCCTCAGTTAGCTAGTTGCATCTCACCGGAGAAGGGTCACAGGGTCACAGTGGCCTGCGTTAACTGAGAGTCAGGTGGAGATGAAGCGGCTCAGCTCAAATCTTTAGGCCTGAGCTCAATTCTGCATCTCTAAAGCTATAATTGTTGACAGGTCTATTGTTTTTGACACAATCAATCACGAATTATTAATGTGCAAGTTAGAAAAATATGGGATCAGAGGAGTGGCTCTGAATTGGATTAGTAGTTATTTGACACAGAGGGGTCAATTTGTGAAGTTGGGTGAATATCAGTCGAGTGATCTGGACATTGTATGTGGAGTGCATGCAAACAAACACAAAACACTGAAATAGACACAGTAGAAGTAATAGATAAAAGTATAAAAAAAAAATTTATTGTAATTGTCTGTACTGTTTTTAAGTATAATAATTACATACTTATGGGCATCAGGTGAAAACCTACAGCAACTCTCTGGACGGGTTTCACAGGAACTTGAGAAGATAAAGAAATGGTGTGATAGTAATATACTATCTCTGAATTTGGATAAAACTAAATTTATGGTATTTGGGAATCGTAGACTAGATAATGAACTGCAAGTGAAAATAAGGGGAACGAATATTGAACGAGTATATGAATAAATTTCTAGGTGTCATAGTTGATGACAAATTCTCCTGGAAATCTCATATCAGATATGTTCAGCACAAAACAGCAAAGAATATATCGATATTGGCAAGGGTTAGATATATTTTGGACGGGAAAGCACTGCGCATTTTGTATTCTTCATTGATTTTACCATACTTAGAGTATGGCGTTGAAAACTGGGGAAATACATACAAAAGCTCACTTCAACCATTGTATATATTACAAAAAAGAGCGATAAGAATAGTGCATAAGATGGGGTACAGGGATCACACCAATGGAGCTTTCACACAGTCTAAATTGTTAATTTATTACCTGGTGGAATTCAAAAACTATTTAATGAAAGGGAAGGGGGATACAATTTAAGGGGTCAGTTAAATTTAAAAATTCATGTTATACGTACAACCAAAAAAAGATTTTGTATTTCCATAAGTGGGGTAAAACTATGGAATAATTTAAATATGGACATAAAAAACAGTAAGAAAATTGATGAGTTTAAACACAAATATAAAGGTATGTGTCAATCAAGATATGGGCAAGAACAGAATTAACGATTAATCAGGTGTAACATTGGGAGTGTGGTGTTTTTAGTATATCACTAGCGTGGTGTAGAACAAAATTATCCATGTAGTAATATTGCTTGCAAACCAATGATGATAAGATGATGTTAGGGGGTAGGACTGGATAAGTCTAACTTCTTCCTACTCCATTCAAGCATGTTCTAGGTATAAGCAAATTGAAAATATATTTGTGGATATGTGTGGAATTATGTGTGTTGACATATTGACTGTTGTTACATGTTTGAAAGAATAAATCAAAATCAAAATCTTTCTTTGAGATGTAAATGTTTATTTTTTTCATTAAAGGTGGTTGTCAGCCAGAGAAATCAAATTTCTACTGTAGGTCCTTAATACCAAAGAATTTTTTTAAGTCCAAAGAACAAGCCGACTATAATTCAACTAAACATCATGTATATGTATATGGTGTGATGGAATTGGTTTGGCTACACAGCCTTCATTGATTCAGGCCTCTTTAAGTTTTGAATCATTTCAGAACTATGTCAGATTTCTATAGCATTTCTGCACTGTAGTTAAAGATGATACCATAAATATCAGCTAATGCAGCAGTTTGTCAACACTGCAGTACTATAGGTAGTACCTCTTGATTAAAAAATTAGAAAAGCTGTTTAATACATGACATTTCAGGAGAAAAAACATCATAAAACGAAAAATCAAGATGCTCATCATTCATTTTATTTTTCCAACAGCTGATTTATATTAAAATCACAATAACAACATATTGCATTACAGCTGTTTTTGGCAGAGAAACATGCAAATGGCCAAACTTCAGTAATGGCCAACATGCTCCAGACTAAAAGAACAGAAGTTCATATTACAATGAGGAACACATTGTTTTTAGAAGCTACTCTAACATGTCCTCTGAACAGCACACGCATTTATACACCACTAATCTAACAGATTTTTAGCCACAAAACATTCACATCTCATTCTTTTCTTGTCTCTAAAGCAAACACAAGAAGCACTGTTATTTAAAGCAATAGAAGATGTACAGTAAATCATTTTTTATCTTCATCACACAGTATCAAATTGTGTTTGTCGTATTCAGGAGCTTTACGAGTATTGATCTTAAATAACCTAGTAATCAGACATTAACCTTACCATTATTCACTATAATTGCTGTTTAGAGATGATACTGTATGAAACTGTATCATCTCTAAATATTAGGCTTGACTCCCAGACAGAGAGAAAGCTCATTTTTCTGAATCTTCCCATCGTTGTTGACGTCACAGTGATGCAGCAGAACGGCTCGCAGCTTGTCCAGCTCAGGGCCTGTCATGTTAGGCTGGAGAGGAGAGAGTAGAAGCAGGAGAGGAGAGAGTAGAAGCAGGAGAGGAGAGAGTAGAAGCAGGAGAGGAGAGAGTAGAAGCAGAGAGTAGAAGCAGGAGAGTAGAAGCAGGAGAGGAGAGAGTAGAAGCAGGAGAGGAGCGATTAGAAGCAGGAGAGCTTTAGTTTGTGGGATACTTAATGAGCATGCATCATCAGTGTGAGCAATCAGCCTGTGTCATCATTTATATGGATCCACAGTCATCATGCTAAAATAACCATTTCAGGGCAGCGGACATCTGTTCCCCCAGGACTGATGTTGTGTCCTGTGTGCTCTGTCTTCTTCTTAATGAACATTGTAAATTACAGTACAGGTAGATGTTAGCTGTGCAGCTCACCAATATTGTGGGGTTCCCAGAAACAAAAATGTTAATTTAAAAATCCAAATTTACTTGTGGCTCAAACAAGAAACCCATTTGCACTATGTAGTTTAAGCTGAAAACTGTTTATCTTATCCATATAAATCATTTATACATGCAAAACACGCAAATGTAGACTGAATTAAATTTTAAAAATAAAAAAACTAGACTGCATTTTTGTCTTACTTTTCCCTGTACATATGGCACTAAATGCCATTAAATGGCAAATGGTTATAGCTCATTGTATGACAAATAAAATGCTGCACTAAAACATGATGGTAAGATCTTCAGCATGTCCACAGTGAATTCAGCCTAAGAGTGATCATGTGCTCCTTGCAGTACATTTGACCTGCTGCATTCATGCTTAAATGACTGTTGTCGTCAATATGTTCACTCATAGGAAAACTCCACAGGATTCGCAAACAGTGCATTGTGATGCAGAAAGTCCTGTGTTTAAAGGGGATGAAAGCAGTGGAAGTGATTGGCCATTGGCACCGTGCTGGATATGTGCCAGGTGTGGCACTTGACTATATTCTGACTGCTAGCCTCATTAAGACTGAGGCCTATGAAGTGTCATGCAAGCTTATGACACTGATAATACATTCCATGGACACATACTGTACAATCTGAATTAAAAAAAAATATTGTGGTTTGATATTGAAACTAAAGAAGCAGTAGCAGTACTGTCCCACTACATTTTGTGTTAACAGCACTGTTATTGTGAAAATGCATATTCATTACAAAACACAGCTGGAACATAGGACAGCAGCACTTTCTCTTACCCTGACCAGCCCCATCATGTCTTTGACAAAGCCGTCCACCTCAGGACCCTCCAGCGCCCCTGTCTTACTCTAAACAAGAAAAAAAAAACAGAAAAAGAGAGAAACAGAAGTAAAAGGTGAAAGAGAAAAGCCAAAAGAAAGTGCTTTCAGAATTTTAATCCCAGTCACATTATTCAGCCAGTCAGTGAATCATTAGTTTTCCCTTCCTGGGTGTATTCCTTAGGCCACTAGCAGGCTTAAACATATCCCAACCTGCATTTTGGACAGAGTAGTGACAATTTCATTCTGTCGGTGGATTCACACATATGGATACAAAGTATTTGTATCAGGCCTTTGATGAATCTGTAGCTCTGGGGGTGTGTTGTGTTGAGCATTTAGTTTGCTTCAACTGGACAGTAGTTTGAAACGTTACATATGCCAGTGATTTGTTTCCACACATTCTTTTTTTTCTCTGTAGAGAAGTGGGAGACCAAAGATGGTATTGATAAGCATTTTCCTCCATTTTGTTTAAAACTCCATCCTGCAGTGGAGCAGTGAACAACTCTGCTTTGGTTTCCATTGATATCAAGTTGATTGTGATTGGCTGTCGCTCACACAGAGTCAGAGGACATTTGCATACATGTGAGCATTTCTCAACTTTCTCCTGTAATGGACGTGGGCGCTCTTTGAATCTGTCGAGCCCGAGATGACATGACATTATAGCTTGCAAGTATGACTGTACAAAATAGGGGGAGCTTATCCTCAGTGGGTTTATTGACTGGAGCTGTACTGTGGAGGAGTATGGGAGCGTTAACTCAGCATCCCAAAGAGTGTTCTTCATTATGTTACAGTAGAGATACAGTGGGTACAGAAAGTATTCAGACCCCCTTAAATTTTTCACTCTTTGTTATATTGCAGCCATATGCTAAAATCATTTAAGTTCTTTTTTTTTTCCTCATTAATGTACACACAGCACCCCATATTGACAGAAAAACACAGAATGTTTGACATTTTTGCAGATTTATTAAAAAAGAAAAACTGAAATATCACATGGTCATAAGTATTCAGACCCTTTGCTGTGACACTCGTATATTTAACTTAGGTGCTGTCCATTTCTTCTGATCATCCCAGAGATGGTTCTACACCTTCATTTGAGTCCAGCTGTGTTTGATTATACTGATTGGACGTGATTAGGAAAAGCCACACACCTGTCTATATAAGACCCTACAGCTCACAGTGCATGTCAGAGCAAATGAGAATCATGAAGTCAAAGGAACTGCCTGAAGAGCTCAGAGACAGAATTGTGGCAAAGCACAGATCTGGCCAAGGTTACAAAAAAAATTTCTGCTGCACTTAAGGTTCCTAAGAGCACAGTGGCCTCCATAATCCTTAAATGGAAGACGTTTGGGACGACCAGAACCCTTCCTAGAGCTGGCCGTCCGGCCAAACTGAGCTATCGGGGGAGAAGAGCCTTGGTGAGAGAGGTACAGAAGAACCCAAAGATGACTGTGGCTGAACTCCAGAGATGCAGTCGGGAGATGGGAGAAAGTTGTAGAAAGTCAAAGAAAGTCAACCATCACTGCAGCCCTCCACCAGTCGGGGCTTTAGGGCAGAGTGGCCCAACGGAAGCCTCTCCTCAGTGCAAGACACATGAAAGCCCACATGGAGTTTGCTAAAAAAAACACCTGAAGGACTCCAAGATGGTGAGAAATAAGATTCTCTGGTCTGATGAGACCAAGATAGAACTTTTTGGCCTTAATTCTAAGCGGTATGTGTGGAGAAAACCAGGCACTGCTCATCACCTGTCCAATACAGTCCCAACAGTGAAGCATGGTGGTGGCAGCATCATGCTATGGGGGTGTTTTTCAGCTGCAGGGACAGGACGACTGGTTGCAATCGAGGGAAGGATGAATGCGGCCAAGTACAGGGATATCCTGGACGAAAACCTTCTCCAGAGTGCTCAGGACCTCAGACTGGGCCGAAGGTTCACCTTCAAACAAGACAATGACCCTAAGCACACAGCTAAAATAACGAAGGAGTGGCTTCACAACAACTCCGTGACTGTTCTTGAATGGCCCAGCCAGAGCCCTGACTTAAACCCAATTGAGCATCTCTGGAGAGACCTGAAAATGGCTGTCCACCAACGTTTACCATCCAACCTGACAGAACTGGAGAGGATCTGCAAGGAGGAATGGCAGAGGATCCCCAAATGCAGGTGTGAAAAACTTGTTGCATCATTCCCAAAAAGACTCATGGCTGTATTAGCTCAAAAGGGTGCTTCTACTAAATACTGAGCAAAGGGTCTGAATACTTATGACCATGTGATATTTCAGTTTTTCTTTTTTAATAAATCTGCAAAAATGTCAAACATTCTGTGTTTTTCTGTCAATATGGGGTGCTGTGTGTACATTAATGAGGAAAAAAATGAACTTAAATGATTTTAGCATATGGCTGCAATATAACAAAGAGTGAAAAATTTAAGGGGGTCTGAATACTTTCCGTACCCACTGTAAGGGCACTAATTGGATTCCCTGCTGCTTCTTGTATACACTGCCATACATCATGGGAATTATGTATGGCACTATTTTCCACTGGGAATAGTAGTCATTGGTAGTGTTGAGTGGCACTGATATCTGTCTGTGGTGGAAAGATACCACCTCTGATAGAGAAAGGTGGAGAGCTACTCCCCTTGTGGTCTTGGAGGTGTACTGTGTGACCTCAGAGAAGATTTTAATAAATACATTGAAAAGTCTACTGAAGCAACATCACAACACATAGAACTGTCATACGTGTAATAAATGGCTTTGACCAGTGGTGTGTTTTTAAAGGATTAAGTTGAGAGGGATTTTTAATTGTCCTCCTCTTCTGCATAGAAAGCTGAGGACTCACACCTGCATCCTTTTGGTCACTTTCAGTGACGTGATGAAAGTCTAAAACTTAATCAGCACAAAGCACCATGACATAGTTTAAAAGAGCAGCAGATGCTAGAAATACAAATGCAATGATCATATGTCAGAAGTTGGTCCTTAAGACCTAGAGGACATACAGACACCATTGCCTGCAGGGTGTGCAAGTGATTAGCTTAGATGATGATGAAATTAAGAAATGCAGTCCTCTTCTGTTTCCCAGCACATTATTGCAGTACTTACGACATCATAATGGTCAAAGATCTTCTCAAAGTCTCTCTTCCTCTCCTCTTTACTGGAGGCCTTGAAAAAGCAAGAGGAGAGTTGTTAAAAATGAAGCAGATGGGAGGAAGGAAATCAGATACAAATAAGTGTTGTTTCACAACTTACCCCCATGTTTTCATTTGACAAAATGAACAGTACACTTACATCTATCTGGAACTGGAGCAGGAAATTCTCTTCTAATGCTAAGATCCTAGTTAAGAAAGAAATGCATATTTACAGAAGCATTGAAGTTATGAAAGAACATTTTTCTTTTCTTTTTGTGTGTGTGTGTGCGTTTTAAGTAATGAGGTTCTACTGTTGAATAGCATCAAGGCAGTTGATTGTAAGGGATCTAGAAAGCTACAGTACGACCTTCCACGCTCTCTCCACCTACACCACCTTGCATTTCATGCCACTAGCTCTACTTTAACCCATCTAGTATAGTATCAAATGTGTCATCCATATTCACTTTGCAAACAGGCTAACCAAAGCTAAAATAGAGATATTTGCAATTTTTGATCAAATAGCTCTTTTATGTCTGTCCAACCATCTGACAACAGAAACATAAAGATAATGGCAACAACTGTATTGCGTAATGTACAAATGACTCTTCTAACAGTAGCTCTTCATCATGCTCTTTGCAAAATACCTGGCTAAGTCATTCAAATCCAAACGGCCATCCTTGTTTTTGTCAAAGATTTTCATCTGTAAGAAGAAGAGAAAGCACTGAGAAGCATGAAAATAACACCACCCACATCACCTGTGGCTCTAAAGTCGAGTCATCATTCGTTTTGATGTTGCACATGAGTTGGTCTCTTCCAAATTGAAAATGACAAAACAGTAAGTCTGAGACTTGAAGTCTCCACAGTAGCAGCCGAGGCAGATGGTTAGTTACATATGTTGCCTGCCGTCTGTGCTGGTCAGCTTATTGGCAGCTGTGGCAGCATGAAATCTCAAGGAAATGATGTCAGCAAAAGTGTAAGGAACTGAACAACTACTGATTTTCTTCTTCTTTTAAAAGAACAGCTACTTGAATCTTAAATCTACAGTTTTCATTTGTGAAAATAAATGTGTTGATGTATATCTTTTTTCCCATTTCAGTTAATGTACAGTGAGTCTGTTTTGGAGCTAGACATACAGCTGCATATGCATTTGCACACAGACATAAAGTACATAGACCACATATACCTTTGCCTGATTATGTGCATACAAAGCCATATTTACTGAAAAGGTTTATTTGTGTGTACGAGTGATTTGCATTATTACCATGGTGTCAGTGTACTCCTCCAGCTTGTCAGACGACACCTTCTTGCGGTGCTGCTGGAACAGGGCCTAAGAGACACCAGTTCACCACATAACCAGATGGCAAAACAGTCAGGTTCAGGTCTTGATAAATTGTATTTTATGTACATTTGATAAATTCTTCAAGAAGAATCCTTCATGAGTGCACATTGTACTTTTGAAGAATGTATTCCAAAATAAGAGGATACAACAACATTAAAATGGTTCAGATCATTAATTTCCTGAACCGCATTAGAAATCTCTCCTACTAGTAGTTCTCTTCTAGGTCATGCACAACCATGAATACTTTGTTAGATCTGGCCAAAAATCTTTAGAGAAAGGTCTTGCCAAAATCTAAGAAAGGACAAACATCTATGTGTGTGACAGAAGAGAAAATACTGTGTAAGGTTTTGTCATTCTCTGACAGCTGTTATGTGCACAGAAAAGAGATGTGTAACTGGTTCTGTGGTGTGAGGGGAGTATGCAGTTAGTCTGTGCTGACAACCTCACCTTAAGCTCCTGAGCTGATATGTAGCCACTGGAATCGATGTCATACTTCCTCCATATCTACAGTGTGCAGGAGCGAGGGCAAGTCAATGGTTATTGATGAATTTGAATGACTTGGAAAACAGCAAACTTAATATGACACAATCAAGCCTTTAGTCGCTGGTGTTGTCATGTTTTTATAGTAACATTTACAACAAGAGCACAGATTTACTGGTGAAATACCACACTACTAGATTAGATGAAAAACAGCACATATACAGTTTTAAAAGAGGTTGTATCACCACTACTTGAACCACACTGGAAATTCTAATTGCTACTGGTTGGAGTCTCAGTTTGTCTGGATGACGCTTTTTGGAATATTGTTTTGTTGTTGTTGTTGGATGCCTTTCTCATTCATACTCTGTTGGCCTGTTGGTTTACCAGTTAGGCAAGAAAAACTTAATGTGTTGCAGCTTACTCATCACTGTTTTAGCTATTTACTGTTTGTTCTGTTTCCATTGTGCTGCACAATTGAATAACTACTGAAATACAGCAGAAGTTCTTGTTTTTAGCTTGTCATGTGGAAAAGATCCATCCTACAGTAAACTGTGCCAAACAAAAAGACACCAGAGAATATGAAAATAATATCTGGTGTTGGTGATGTATAAAAATGGTTAGCCCACTGGCTGACCAGGGCACCTCTGCAGTTTGAATGCTGCTGTATTATCAATTCAGTTTTTTTTTCCTTTCATTGATACATTGTGATTTTACCTTCATGAAGTCAACACTGTTGTCCAGAGGAGTTTCTCTGCGGAAAATTAACAGGAAGTTCTCGTCTTCAGGAAGGATCATATTGGCCAGCTGAAAAACAGGAGCGAGGGCAGAGCAGAAAGCAGCGACTGGATAACATTGTTCTATTAGGTTCTTGGAGAGGATAACCTATACTAGTTTACAGCATGTACTGACACAGAACAGCTGAGTCTAATCGAGTCTAGCCTTGCAGTCTTGATCAGATCAGGGGTCAGCTTTTAGAAACTGTTCAGCTGAGACCCTCAGCAGTGATGTCTGTGGGTTACGTTGTCTCGAAAGAAGTAAACTGCCAGAGGTAAAAAAAAAATTTAAAAAAAGTAAATTTCATATAAAACAGTCCTTTTTTCAGGGATCAAGTAATAGGTTAACTTCCATCTTTTCTGCAGCACTGGAACTAACCTACGCCTTGAATAGGGATGCAAACGGATGCTACAGGTGTCCCAACTTTTGTTGGCTACATAGACAATAATGTCTATCTGTACAAAGGCAGTGTTGGAAAGGGCTGTTACTACACCCCCTGAAGAATTATCTGGAACAAGGCAATTAACAAAGGAGGTCAGATCTTTCCATGGTTTCATCCAATAACAGGATAATGACCCAAAAAAATACCTCTCCAGAAAAGAACAAGACAATTGGCTTCAAATGATGGAATGGCAGCACAGTGTCCAGACATTCCAGGTGAAGACTGAAAACCCATGTCTGGGAACTTCAGAGCCATCTATTCCAACAGTATTTGATTTCAGAATTTATAGAATGAATGTCACTGCTGTGTTTGGCTGGAGGTGATCTCAAACGTTTGACAGGTAGTGTAGCCAACAGTTGATTTTAGCAAAACAACTACTTTGCTTTTTCAGATTTTTTTTAATAATGTTTAAAATTTTGTTTAGCCTCATCTTCTTCATTTGCATGGTCACATCCTTACTTCTTATATTAGCACGCAGCTCTGCTTCAAACAAAATGGCAACTCTCAGTCAACTCTGAGCCATGTGCGACCTTTTTTGCACACAAATAATGTTGCAATAACACGGCTGCCCAAGGAACATTTGTAGCCAAGCATCCAATTTTGAACCTTTTGGGCAGTGTTTTAAAATGTCTATCTCTCACACAGCTCTTACTGTATCGACTTACTCAAATTAAAACAGAAACTTGACATGTTAATGTAGTATCTTTTTTTTTTTAAAGTCTGATTGAATGTACTGGAGCACAGAGCCTGAACAACTAAAAAAATGTCACTGTCCAAATACTTTGACTGTGTTGCTAAACGTCTGCAAACTGAAATGATCTGTATGGTTGGACAGTTGTAGGTAGAACTGAGAGTTTATATTTTACTGTCAGTTGGATGAAATATCTCTGCCAGCTCCTCTTGGCTCCTCTCCAGTTCAAGTTGCCCTCTTATACTCTCAGCTCCTTTAACAATATCAGCTCTCCATTAGCAGATTAAACTGGCCGTGATCATCCATCTAATTAAAATACAAGATGAAACTGCAGCCATTTGGGCCATAGTGCTGAAGTATAGCATACGGTCAGAACAAGCGCAATGCACCAACAGTGAGAATCAGTATTACTAAATATGCTACAAGTACATGACATGCATGGTACTAATAGTGAAACCGTGAATAGGTTTTGTCAGATTTCTTGTCTGATAGGAGGTGAACATGGCATCAGGTCAGCTGTATGCTACTGAGCTAGAGGAGTAACAGCACTTCATGCAGCTATCACACAGGATGTTGTTTTTCAGATAGGCTTGCCAACTTCCCTAGTAACCACATCCGTAAAGCAGAGGCAACAGTATAAGGGGAAATGGCATTAGAAATTAAAAAATGGTCAGTGCCCTCTAGATGAGCCCAGTAAATGGATGACCTGCCACTCAGCGTCCTTGGTCTTCATCCAGAGGTAGAATGTACATGTTTGGGCCCATGTCCAAAAATCTTCATGACATACTGCTCTCCTTCAAGTGGAGTTGGTGCATTGACGCCCTGCTGACTGAGTAAACCTTAAAATGTAGTAGGGTTGCAGCAGTATACTGGTTTTACTGTACACCATGGTATGGAAATTGATGGTTATTGTACCATACACATATGCTGATTACCCGTATTGAAATAAAAAATGCTATGTGTGCATACCTTTCTTCCCCTAGTGTCTGTCAGACTCCGTGACAGGCTCTACATGCACACATTCATTGGACAAATGGCAGCCAGAAGAAGGCTGATAGCCCATCAACAAAAAAAAATCTATGCAAATCAAAGTATGTCTTGTTTATAACTTTAATCCCAAATGATAAAATGTGAGTATAATTTTCCACATTGTCTGTTCATTTGCTAATCTCTGACTTACAACAGGATACACACTAATCCTGATCCTACCCCAGAAACACACACACACACAATTTACTGGTTTGTGTGTGTGTGTGTGTGTGTGTCAGAATCCGTCTGGCTGCACTGTTGTGCACCTACAGTAAATTTACTATTGCTATTTTGATAATAGTTCAGAGCATTGTGATGGCATTTCTCACTACTGTCAAGTTTTACAAACCAGTCAATTGATTAATGGAGAAAATAATCACCAGATTAATCCGTAATGAAAATAATCATGAGTCGCACTTTGATAACAGAGCTCTACCCCAACCAACTTAAAACAATCAAATCCTTCTTTTACAGTACAACAATGCATGAGTGATAGGCTGTTAATGTTAATGACATAATACCACAACAGTATAGGATATATAGTATAATCTTTTTGCATTGAGAAGCCTGCTTCTACTTTTAACACCTCTGTTGTCATTCCTTTGAGGGTATCTGATAATAGTAACTGTGTAATACCCTGAAACTATGACAGTGTAGTGAATATCCCTAATCTACTCGTCTTCCTTTGCTTTGTCATTGGCTACTGTGCATCTGTCTCTGTGCATCTCTTGTCCATGGTGGTTTGGTTCTCTTTTTAGTTGTGTTGCTCTCTTTGTTTAATGCTCCAGTGTAAGAGATTCTCTATAGCTGACAGGAAGGACAAGTATTTTAGTGTGTCCTCCTGGTAAAAGTAACATAGTTTGCTGTAATTTTTGCTGAATCTGGCATTTTACTCACGCATGCCTCTACCAGGTGCTGTCATTTTTCCCTTTTTGCTGAATCTGGCATTTTACTCACTGAAAACACAACGTAGCGATGCACATTAACTGATGTTTGTTAGATAAAATGTAATAATTTTTAAAAAGCATGTGGTGCATAATGTACACTACCAGTCAAAAATCTGGACACACCTTCCCAATGGATTCAATGGGAGATGCACAAAGCAACTTCACTGGATCAAGGAGCAAAACGGTCCTTATTAAGTGGATATTAACCAAATGTGACATCACACAGTTTCTTTGTAAATTGGATACATTTAGTGTTTCTACAGTAACAGTGATCCCAGATGAGTTCCTAGTGGAGATGTATACAGATGTAAAATTTGGAATAAAACAATGTTAAAGGTGAGGAAAAAGTGGGATGTGCATCCCTAGTAAGCAGGGTGTGGACTGTAGCTTCAAACCAAGGTACAAAGAGCTTTGATCACACTGTTCCTGCATCAGCCTCAGTAAATCATTATCTTCAGCTGGCCACTTATTGCAGACATGCATTGATTTTTTTTTTCAGTTTTATGAGCAAAAGCCAAAAGTCTGTGGGTGTAATGCATTAACGGACTGGCCTAATGAACGGGTGAAGGTTTTTTTTTCCCACTGTTCTGATGAAGCACTGCTGCGGTGCCAGGAACCGCATCAATTACACAGAGTAGAGATGGAGAAAGCAATATAATCAAGATGTGGCCTTAAATTTCTGGGAAAAAGCTGCAGCCTGACACAATGGATTTGATTTAAATGAAATGACTCGATAGAGAACGTGATTTGTTTGGGATTTTTGAGAGTCCCACTTACCTGCCCAAAAGGATCATCATTTGACCTGTTGTGATTAGATTATTATTTACACATGTATGATTGTGTCACAAAAGTAGATTGATCTTGAGGAATAGGAGATGCAGTGGAGAAGGGGTATGAGATAAAGAGTAGGGTGAGCAGAATAGATGAATGTGTATGAGAGAGAAGAGGAAGATCCACACTAACGGGGAAGCTAACAGAAAGTAAAATGGATTTCAGACCCAAAAATGGTGTTGTACCTCTTGAATCTGTAGTTTCCCATCAGCAGTGACATCGTAGGCAGACATAAATCTTTGCTTCACTCTCTGAACTCTCTCTTCAGTCACCTTCTCCTGTAGAGATGCAATACATTAAAATGCAACACTGCTTTTCTTGCTCCACATATGTCATTAGAAATCCACTCCTTGTGTAGCTGGACACTGATACAATGATGATGATGGGAGTATATATAATGGGGCAAAATAAATTAGGATATATATGAAAGTGTAATAAAATATTTAATTGTGTCATGCTGATTCAAACTTGTAATTGACCGTCACGTCAAGTCAGTCAAGAATGGTACGGCGGCCTAAACACTTCACCGGCTGAGTCACAGTTATTTTAAGCAATGTCACCATGGATACTCCTTTGAATCTGCAGGTCTGCTTTCTCAATCCGAGGCTACATAAAGCATTAATGTTGTGCACTCTACATTTCCTTGGCCTCAGTCATGATGCACTAAACTGAAACACCTCAAACATTTGTATCCATTACTTTGTCATCCAGGAAAAGTGAAGCCATTTTTAATAGTAGTATCATGCTTCTGTTTTCTTTGTGTAGTCATAGTGTGTTAGGCCATGACTTACTTACCTTACAGTACTTGCAGCAGGCAGTTTACTGCAAATGCCTCAGTTTAAATAAATGAAACCTGTCTAATCTGTTGTGTAACTAGTATATATGCAACTGTACCACCATGTTGAATACAGTGAAGAATTGGTAACTGCTTTTACTCAGGGAATGTGAACCTTGTAAGGATTTAGAAAACATATTCTAGCAGATTATAATCAAAGGTTAACTAAGATTTTAAAAAAAAAGTCTGCAAAAATACAGCCTGGTGCACACTTATCTGAGTTAAGAATCATATTTTCAGTTCCTGTGTAGACCAGGTTCTTTCTCAACCAAAGTTCAGACTAAAGCGTGATGCATCTGCATGCAAAATGTTTAAGCTATTTAGCGGCTAATTTTCCAGTGTCTCTTTGTAAACTCCTCCACCACTGTACTGTAACTATAGAAACCTGTTGATCTGGCTTGCTGGGATCTGAATCATCATTTGATGCACTGCAGGGAGCACATAGTTTGCAGACTACTAGGTGCCAGTCTCATTACAAAAAGACAAGTATTTGTCTTCAGCTTGGCCTTTCTATCAGGCATGTTTGGTGTCAGCAGTTTCCTGGTGCTTTTTGCAAGTTTATTTTAAAACAAAATGTGTGACTTCATGTACTACTGAATTTATTTCAGAAGGCATGCTGTTTCTTCACAACTTAAACCTACAGTATGTATACTCTAGGTTTTGCTGATATGTTAAACTTAGTGTGAATATTAATTTAGCTGCATATGAGCAATTGACTGAAAATGTATTGCTTCATGTAGGAAAAAATGCAGAATTAGTGGGTATGATGCACTATAGGCAATAAAGGGATAGCAGGAAAGATAGACACCATGTGGTTAATGTTATCCAGGACTCACTGAACAGACTGTGGAGAGAAATACAACAGTACTTATCCTGGGGAAATTAATGTTCGAAAGCAAACCTCTAAGAGAGAAAGTGTCATGTGGTCGGTTTGTTTTGGTACAGCTCCTTTTGTATCCAAGGTAGTGCAATTACACACACACACGCACACACCAGTGTACTACTAGTTGTCCACTCATTTGCTTTTCCATTGGTCTCATGAGGGCTTCATTGTCTAGTCAGAAAAACAGCAATTAACATTGCTTGATAAACACAATGTGTCATTATTGCACACTCCCACACAAAAACACACACAAATACTTTGTAACCTTGTTTGTAACCTACATCAATTTGTAACCAAGTCAAGAGCTTTTCCTTTGACACTGACCAGAGCTCTTTAATTGTGTTGTGTCTGTATAGAGGTTCAGTTGCCCACACAGCAGAACCCCAAAGCTAATTTAACTATATTTCCTAAAAGCTGATTAAAGCTTTAAATTGGACAAATTTTCTCCCTGACTACTTCAGTCTAAACATAGATGTATTTACCAGCATATAGCAAAAATTAGTGAAAGATGTGGAAATAAACATTTGCACTTGTAGGACAAATGCAGTAACATGCAATGGCAAACAGTTTAATAAGCTAAGACATATAGTCCAGACTGCATGTATTTAGAAAGTTGCACATTTTGTGTTCTTCAGGCTCTGTGTTACATTTTTATGTGCACCGTTGACAGATGAGGCTGAAGGCAGTGTGTTTTTTGCTTGTTCGTCCATCCGCCTGTCCCATTCTCATGAACATAATATCTCAAAAACACGAGGGGATTTTTTCATTTAAATTTGGCACAAACATCCACTTGGACTCAAGGTGACAAAGCACTGTCAGTGCTCTGTACTGCACTGGAAAAATAGTCTCTAAGTGAAGACGGCATGTTTCTCAGTGGAAATTATTCATGTCAATATAGTGATAGCATCATGGTGGCTTCACTTCTGGGAGCTGTGAGACTGTCCATCGTATATACTTTCAACGTTACTGGTTGGCGGGGGCATACAACCATGACCCAGTCGGCCTAATTCTGGTTTTAAACAAAGATAATGGATAGCACATTAGAATGCCACGTCTCTACTTTACTCCACTTTGAGTAGGTTTATGTCAATACAGAAAAAACTGTGTGGGAGTTATAGGGTTCAATACTAAATGTTTTCTTGGGCAGCTGGGTCTTGTTTCAGTGTTAATACGTGCAAATGAAGAAGATAATAATAATGATGATAAGGCTTAAAGCAAAAATCTGTCGGAAATATCAAAGGTAGTTGGTTTGCAAAAAAATCTACAACTGGGTATATTCTAAAACATCAGGTGCACTTAAAAAACCTACTAAATGCTTAACCGAGGAGTGGTGGTTGAGCAGAAAAGATGTTTACTCCTGCTAGCAATGTGACTGCTAGCCTGTAGATAACAGGAATAGTTTGATAGCTGCGGTTAGCTGACATGATCAACTAACAAGTTAACAAATTTTGTGTAAAGACTGGCAATGTTAGGTAGCTAGCAGGTTTTCATTTTGAAGTCAACATACCTCCTGGCTACAGTAGTTAGTTAATTATCCAGGCTGTTAGCTACAGCATTTAAGCTCTGGATGGATTTTAAAGGCACTTTTAAATACATTTAGATTATAGATGATACAGTACCACACACACACTTCACGTTTTACCAGCTTAAAATACATTTCAGTGCAGTCAAGTGTCAGATCAAATTGCTTTAGTTTGACTTCATACCAACTAAAAAGGTCTGAACAGGTTTTGATTATGTTAGTTACAGTAATTAACCAAATAACTAGTTTGGCTGCCCTGGCCCATTGGGAAATAATAAAAAAGAAGTCAGACAGGTTCCAGCAGCAGCAACAAGCGTCCGCAATAGTGCCAACACTACCATGCAGACTACCTCTGGTACTGGAAAACATTAGAACAGGTCAGGGTCCTGCCTAACCACCAAATTAAAAATACAATATATTTAATACAACAAATCAGCAAACTGGTATGAATTAAAACACTGTGGTACAACCTGGTGACAGGTCCAGATATCTCTTTAGTCAAGTGTGAACTCTGCAATAAAGACTCAAAATACTAAAAAAATAAAATACTTGGATCCCCTGCAAACTCAATTCAAATCTTAAAGTGACTCTAAACAGTAGTTTTCCAATGAAATTGTATCAGATCACAAATGTGACAAAAATGCAATAACATGAAGAGGTTTTATAACGAGTTTTACTTTATTGTTGAACTGTTCGACCAACAAGTGGGAAAGAAAACTCGTGTCCATTCATATTTGCAGTGGAATAATGTTATCTACAGGACAAGACGTGGCATGGAGATGGTTATCTGTGCTGTGCGGTGCAGGCAATAAAGGAAAGGAAATAAGTCATCTGAAAGGCAAAAGTTTTGCCCATGCTTGAGGCATGGACCGACAGCCCCGATAATATACCCTTTTTGGCACATTGACCACCAGTTAACGTCTCCATGTCTGGTAGCAAATATGACATTTGCACATAACGTGAGCTTCAGATTGCCCCCTCCCTTTCGTTCTTTTCAGATGCTAGCGTGTCATCTTGTAGACGTAGCCTTGGAGGGCACAACGGAATGTTCTAATATGACTTCACTCCAAAGATAATGTGCATGGGTTTGAGCACATATTGGTAGGGAGATTTCTGTCCTCCAAAAGATTGGTAGAACATTGAACATCTAGCACAGCATCACCATGAAACATAAAAAATGTCTGGTGACATCTATGGACTAAAGACTTCGGCACTATGTGTTAAAAGAGCTCTCTCTCCCACACAGTTTACTCAAAGTAAAGTTGAGATGTGGCACTTTAATGCTATGGATGTTATTTTATTTCAAATTATGTGCTGAAGCACAGAGCCTGAAGAACAAAAAACACATACAGTCATGGCCAAAAATATTGGCACCCCTGCATTTCTGTCAGATAACACACCACTTCTTTCAGAAAATTGTTGCAATCACAAATTCTTTGGTATTGTCATGTTTAATTCTTTTGTTTGCCTTGGAACAACACACAAAAAAAAAACAGAGGAAAGAAACGCCAAATCTGATAGATTCCACACAGAACTCCAAAAATGGGCTGGACAGAATTATTGACACCTTTTCAAAATCATGAGCAATAGTTGTATTTCAAGCATGTGATGCTCCTTTACTTTGTATTGAAACTCACCTGTAGCAACCAATGGGTGCTGGCAATAAAGAAATCACACTTGCAACCAGTTAAAATGGAGAAAAGTTGACTCAACCCTTGTGTCATGTGGACCACACTGAGCACAGAGAAAAGAAAGAAGAGCAGATTGTCTGTCTGAGGATTTGAGAACCACAGTAGTGGTAAAGCCTGGACAGTCTCAAGGCTCCAAGTCCGTCTCTAGAGATCTGGCTGTTCCTGTGTCCACTGTGTGCAACACTGTCAAGACGTTTACAGCCCATGGCGCTGTAGCTGATCTCCCTTGACGTGGACGAAAGAGAAAACGGATGACCGATTGCAACCAAGGATTGTTCAAATGGGGGAATGTCCTGTGGACAGATGAGACTAAAATGGAGCTTTTTGGTCGAGCACATCATTCTGCTGTTTTCAGAAAACAAAATGAGGCCTTCAAAGAAAAGAACACTGTCCCTACTGTCAAATATAGTGGAGGTTCACTGATGTTTTGGGGTTGCTCTGCTGCTTCAGGCACTGGAGGTCTTGACTGTGTGTATGGTATTATGAAATCTGAAGACTACCAGTGAATTCTGGGACACAATATAGGGCCAGTGTCAAAGCTGGGTCTCTGTCAGAGGTCATGGGTCTTACAGCAGGACAATGACCCAAAGCAGACTGGAGCAGCTGGCAAAAGAAGAGTGGTTCAAAGTTCCAGTAGAGAGGTGGAAGAAACTCACTGATGGTTACAGGAAGCAATTATTTTGTCCAGTGTGAGTGCAACCAAATATTAAGTTGAGGGTGTCAGTAATTCTGTCAAGTCCGTTTCTAGAGTTCTGTGTGAAACGGATCAGATTTGGCTTTTCCCCTGCTTTTTTGTTCCAATGCAATCAATAAAAATAGACATAAGAATACCTAAGAATTTGTGATTGCAGCAGGTTTCTGTGATGCGTTATCTGACAGAAATGCAGGGGTGGATTTTTGGCCATGACTGGTCCAAAAAAGATATGGACTGGAGCCATTGCAGGTTTTAATTCACAAGATTATTTTATGTAGGAGGCAGTAATGTACATTTACAGTATATTAACGGTTCTAGTAGTGTTATAGATTTCTGTGGCTTTTAGGTCAGTGCATATAGTCTTGTTTGCATTTGCTGTTACTAGATAGAAATGTAGACTGGTGCCTGTTCAGCTGCCCTCAACATGCACAGTGTTGCACTGTATGGAACTGCTGTCATTTTCATGCTAGTTATGAATGAATTCATCAAACCAAAACTGACTCACCTGTGGAGCCAGTTTCTTAATCATGTGACGGAAAAAGTCATCAAGCTCTTTGCCCTCTATGTAACCGTTATCTGTCCAAATAAAAACCGCACAAGGTGTTAAGTACAGTGAAGAAAGTCGTCTTCAAAATTCAGATACTGGGAACTTAAAATGAAGTGACAGATAATTAGTTTTATATAGGACTTTGCAGCCTTCAAACACAGAAATGGCCAACATAGGAATGAGATGATCCTAAGAACTTAAATGATTTCTTACAACTCAAATTTTTCACTATAATGATCTTTTTCTTCCTTTTGTCAAGTAATGACAGAAGATATACTATATTACCTGTCCCTAGATATGCGAGAAATAATATGAACTGTTCTTACCATCTGCATCAAAGTGCTGCCAGATTTCCAGGAATCCAGCCGCGTCCAGGTTATCAAAAGCACAGTCCATTTTAAAGCTAAATAAGCGGTCAGCTTTTGCATATAAAAACAATAAGGACTGAGGTGACAAATTGTGTTGCACTATTCAGTAGCTTGCTCGGTTGACATATGCTCTGACTTAGTTAAAACCACACCTCCCCTGTGTGTGTGTGTGAGTGTGTGTGAGTGAGAGAGAGAGAACAGTGTAGCAGTGTGCTTGCCATCTGGTGGCTGTACTGTTAACCTGCAAAAGAGATTTTCAAAGTTGCACAAAAGGAGACTGCATAGATCTGAAAGCCTGCAAAATGATTTTAATTTGTATTAATATTCACAAGAAATATCAAAGACCAGCAAAATGACTTAGTAAAACGTATTGATCCATGACAAAACAGAACAAATGTATCAAAACTGATAAAATGAGCAAATGTAATTTTTTTTTTTTTACAGCTCAAGAAAAGCTAGCTTTGCATCACTTCTGAATCATAATGAAATTAAATTTGATTACATGTAATAAGAAATTAATACACACAAGGAAGTTCTACATTTATGAACACAATGTACAAGTGAGAGGGAAAAACAAAGTATCAAGACTTCACCGGCCACTTGTCTTTTAACTCCAAATAAGTTACAAACAAGCCCCTTGTACAGTAGCATACCTGGTACCAAAACAGTAGGATTTTTTTTTTGTCCACATAGGTGTGTATTACTTGTGCATATATCACACACACATACACCAACATGTCTGAAAGCACACATATACATACAGTACAACTCACAGCCACATCATGCCACACATACATGTAGACTCAGGAGTCTGGACTCACTGCTACAGGATATTTGAACTTTCTCCTGTCTGTGCACCAACAAAAATAAAGTGGACGCCCATTTGTCAGGACTGAACAGGAAATCATTCTCAATATTTTGCACAACTTGACAGAAACACAGCCAGCTGTTTCTGAAAGCCCACACAGAAAGCGAAGGTGCCCAGATCTGTTCCTTGTATCATGGTTAAAAACTGTTAAAAATGCCAGAAGAATACAGCACACAGTGTTTGTCTTCAAGTGTCCTAGAACACTGGAAATCAAAATAGTCATTGACATCGGGTCCAAATTAACTATATACAACAGGAACAGTGTTGTTTCTAAGCAGAACCTAACCATGACCCCACAAAAAGACAGTGATTGACACCACAGGTGCACCAGTAAGACCTTTCCTGACTTGTATTTTATTGTACTGTACAAATGTCAAATTCAAGTCTCTCACATATCAACTGCATGTAAACTGAGGTCAGCTGCACATCTGACATCAATGCTTAGTACAGCACGGCACCCAACAAGTACCAGATAACAGTGGCCAAATCAAAAGACTGGAGTTTAAAATAATCTTATTTGGAGATGTTCAGAGTATGTTGCGTATGTACACTGTACTGAGGAGTTGGCATGCCAAATTTCTGCCCCAAATGATAAGGAATATGAGTAAAAAAAAAGCCTGGTTCTACAACCTACTGAAAGCTACAGGTTATAGATGAATGAATTGAATGAGTTTACAAGATCACTTTAAAACTGGCTAAAGACTGTGTACCGGAGTGAAGAGTGCAATTTTTTTTTTTTTTTTTTTTTTTTTTTTTTTTTTTTCTT